GGGGACGGGAGGCCCCAGCAAAGCCACCTGCCAGAGTTGGGGTGTTTTCCAACAAGTGTCATGTGAGCTGGGGCACCAGGAGGAGACAAGAACCGGGGTGTGTGGGGTGCAGAGGCCCAGGTGCTGAGAGGGGGTGTGCAGAGGGGACTCCGGGGAAGCCCTCCAGCCCGCGTCGGGGGCTGCTGGGAGCTCCGGTCCCCGGGCCCATGGGAGAGCTGGTCCCAGCAGAGCAAGGGTGGCCATCCCTTCGAGGCCAGGCACTCCCCGCCCCCTCCTCCCCCAGGGCCACACAGGCTCCGGCAGCACTGGCTCAGAGGCTGGTCATTCTGAGGTCAAACCAGGAGCAGCATCGACAAGCCCCCGGGCCAGTGTGGCCCACCCGCTCCTCGATGTTTTGTGTGGACACAGCCTACACAGGCCCAGCCCCGCACCGCCCGCCCCTCCTGCAGCTCAGCGCCGTGCCCCGGGTCGTGGCCACAGGGTGGACGCAGAAACATGTGGTCCAGGCCTCAGGACCCTGTGGTGGCCGCGGGCCCTGAGAACAGCGGGCAGAGGAGCTGGGAGCCGCCTGGCCTCGGGCCGCCCGCTGGGGCTACTGTGATGCAGGAGAGAGTTAACTCTGGTTAAGCCGCTCTTGGGGTTTCCTGATCCTCAGCTGAACCCGACCCCACCACACGGCCTCCCTGGCCTCCACCTTCCTCTCTGTCAAATGGGCGCGATAGGACACCGTCTCCCAGGACGAGGGAAGCGGCTGCGCACAGGCACCCCCAGCCCCCAGCCCCGTCACGGCTCCCAGCACCCTCAGAGCTCCAGGCTAAACAGCAGGGGCCCCCTGGGCGCCCACGCAGAGCACACAGTGGGGCTCAGGACATGGGCGTTGGGGGGCAGGGAGCACAGCAAGGGCTGGGATCGGAGAGAACGGCACCCGGGGACTCAGAAACGTGAGGGGCGGAGGCTCAGCCCCCCCACACCTCCACCTCCTCCTCCTGGGCCCGGACCAGCCCCTGGGGCGACCAGCACCTCCTAATTCTCCACATCGCTCGGCCCGCACAGCCACATCCCTGCAAACTCAGGCGCACAGCCCCCCGCCTGCCGTGGGGGGTCATCACTGTGACCGTCCCTGTGGGGTCCGAGGTACAGGCTGTGGGTTCCGGGTCCCAGGCCCCCTTCTCCCTGGGGAGGACAGCACCTGCCCTTCTGTCCTGGAGGGGCCCCTTGGCTGAGCCTGAGTCTGGGGGCTCCCCCGGGGAGGGAGGGGCGGAGGGCTCCCGCCAGGCACCATCAGGGCCCCCAGGGTCCCAAGAAGGACACCCCGCTGCACAGAACCTCGGGGGAGGCTGGGGCCCAAGTGGGGC